CTGTTCCTCGAATCTTATAATAAGCGCTGATACCCATTCTACAGGCTTTTGAGTTGCCATGCTGGAGAAATTTGAACAGAACATAGAGACAGTCGGGCATACGATCACTCAGTCACCGCCATATTGAACCACTGAAGACGTCATGAGGGGGCGGGGCATGCGTCCAAGCGGCACTTTTGAATACTGCCACCCACCCCTGCCATTCACCCTGCCACTCACCCCTGCCATTCACCCTCCCACTCGCCCCTGCCATTCACCCTCCCACTCTCCCCTGCCATTCACCCCTGCCACCCACCCCTGCATTCACCCTGCCACTCACCCCTGCCATTCACCCTCCCACTCTCCCCTGCCATTCACCCCTGCCACCCACCTCTGCCACTCACCCCTGCCATTCACCCTGCCACTCGCCCCTGTCACTCGCCCCTGCCATTCACCCCTGCCACCCACCCTGCCATTAACCCTGCCACTCACCCCTGCCACCCACCCCTGCCACCCACCCCTTCCATTCACCCCAGCCACCCACCCCTGCCTTTCATTTTGTTTGTAACAAATGTACTTTGGCACAGTTACCCTTTAGCAGTGTTGACATTGATTTACCTAATTTTAATACAATGACCCCTTGCCATATATTGATGATTATGATTTATGAAAACAGGCCTTCATTTTATTCATTTCAACGCAAGATCACTTTTCTCAAAACTGGCAGAGATTAGGATTCTAGCTAATAGAACTAGGGCAGTTATATACCTTGTACTTGTAGTTTACCTGGAGAGAGTTCCGGGGTTCAACGTCCCCGCGGCCCGGTCTGTGACCAGGCCTCCTGGTGGATCAGAGCCTGATCAACCAGGCTGTTGCTGCTGGCTGCACGCAAACCAACGTACGAGCCACAGCCCGGCTGGTCAGGAACCGACTTTAGGTGCTTGTCCAGTGTCAGCTTGAAGACTGCCAGGGGTCTGTTGGTAATCCCCCTTATGTATGCTGGGAGGCAATTGAACAGTCTCGGGCCCCTGACACTTATTGTATGGTCTCTTAACGTGCTAGTGACACCCCTGCTTTTCATTGGGGGGATGTTGCATCGTCTGCCAAGTCTTTTGCTTTCGTAGTGAGTGATTTTCGTGTGCAAGTTCGGTACTAGTCCCTCTAGGATTTTCCAGGTGTATATAATCATGTATCTCTCCCGCCTGCGTTCCAGGGAATACAGGTTTAGGAACCTCAAGCGCTCCCAGTAATTGAGGTGTTTTATCTCCGTTATGCGCGCCGTGAATGTTCTCTGTACATTTTCTAGGTCAGCAATTTCACCTGCCTTGAAAGGTGCTGTTAGTGTGCAGCAATATTCCAGCCTAGATAGAACAAGTGACCTGAAGAGTGTCATCTTGGGCTTGGCATCCCTAGTTTTGAAGGTTCTCATTATCCATCCTGTCATTTTTCTAGCAGATGTGATTGATGCAATGTTATGGTCCTTGAAGGTGAGATCCTCCGACATGATCACTCCCAGGTCTTTGACGTTGGTGTTTCGCTCTATTTTGTGGCCAGAATTTGTTTTGTACTCTGATGAAGATTTAATTTCCTCGTGTTTACCATATCTGAGTAATTGAAATTTCTCATCGTTGAACTTCATATTGTTTTCTGCAGCCCACTGAAAGATTTGGTTGATGTCCGCCTGGAGCCTTGCAGTGTCTGCAATGGAAGACACTGTCATGCAGATTCGGGTGTCATCTGCAAAGGAAGACACGGTGCTGTGGCTGACATCCTTGTCTATGTCGGATATGAGGATGAGGAACAAGATGGGAGCGAGTACTGTGCCTTGTGGAACAGAGCTTTTCACCGTAGCTGCCTCGGACTTTAATCTGTTGACGACTACTCTCTGTGTTCTGTTAGTGAGGAAATTATAGATCCATCGACTGACTTTTCCTGTTATTCCTTTAGCACGCATTCTGTGCGCTATTACGCCATGGTCACACTTGTCGAAGGCTTTTGCAAAGTCTGTATATATTACATCTGCATTCTTTTTGTCTTCTAGTGCATTTAGGACCTTGTCGTAGTGATCCAATAGTTGAGACAGACAGGAGCGACCTGTTCTAAACCCATGTTGCCCTGGGTTGTGTAACTGAATCCTGGTTGGATGATACGGTGTCTGACGACGAGGTCAAAATAAAAGGTTACAATATAAAACGCTTAGATAGGAATAGAAAAGGTGGTGGGGTATGTGCCTATAGAAAATGACTTGGCCTACAACCCAAGACCTGATTTAAATGACAATACACTGGAGTTTCTATGGTTTGAAGTGTTGCTTCCCAAGACTATTTGTAATTTGTATTTTTATAGTATTAGTTTATACCTAGTTGTACTTTAGCTCATTCTAGCACAACACATAGACAATATCAACTTCATTATGTTTATTAGTGACTACTCTATGTGACCAAAGTGCTTTAGCGATATACTTATCCAAACTTCCCACTACTACATAGATCAGTATTAGAACTCACCGCACAATACAGGATATAAATAACCACTATTTAAACCTAAAAGATGAATGATCACATTGACCCTGATCTAAACCTCCATAATCTAACACACAATCAAAACTTATTGGAAAGTAACTCCCTTTATTACACAGCATCACAAGCCAGCACTATCCGGAACACTGCTCAAAGTCTATCAGTTCTTAACTACAACATCAGGTCCTTAAGCATACACTATGATGACCTCCTGGCACTCCTTGAGTCGCTAAAGACACCCTTCTCCTGCATTATTCTTACTGAGACCTGGCTTAAGCAGGACACAATACATATCTACCCAATACCAGGATACACAGCAATCCACAACTGCAGACCATACCAAGTTGGGGGTGGTATTGCAATCTATTACTCTTACCAACTATCTTGTAACAGCACCACTTGCTTTAGTGATGAATATGGGGAATACATTTTTGCTAATTTTACTGTAAAAAACCTTAAGACGCCTATAACAATCGGTGCCATTTACCGGATACCCCACACAAACATCCCAAATTTAAGTGAGAATCTAAAGGCACTAATAACAAACAGACAATTGAACAAGCATCACCTTCTCTTAGCTGGAGACTTCAATATCAACCTTGGGCTACCAGATGATCAGACTGTAAATGGTTTCATCAACAATATGAACAACACACTTCTCATACCAACAATAACTGAACCAACCAGGATGACTGAGACAAGTGCAACCATAATAGACCACATATGGACCAATATACTAGCCCCCCTTAAATCAGAGATAATCACAGACAGCACTACTGACCACTACCCAACCTTCCTCTTAACAAACATTAGAAAGTCACCACTCGAATACAACAAAGTTTCATTTAGACTCCATGACGAGGCCTCAATAAGGAATTTCACAGCAGACCTAGAGACTGTTGACTGGCCTACAGAATTCTCCAATGCCAATGGTATTGACGATTGGACAGACATTTTTCTTAACATAATACTTAGACTATACAACAAACATTGTCCTATAAAAACGAAACAGATCACAAATAAACGGCTCGGTTGCCCATGGCTAACCGGCAGCATTCTGAAATCCATTGATAAGAAACACCAATATGAAAAGCAATATAGACAGGGCTTAATACACAAAGATATTCTTAAACAATATTCAAGCACCTAAAGTCAGTTCCTGATCAGCCGGGCTGTGGCTCGTACGTTGGTTTGCGTGCAGCCAGCAGCAACAGCCTGGTTGATCAGGGGCTGATCCACCAGGAGGCCTGGTCATAGACCGGGCCGCGGGGGCGTTCACCCCCGAAACTCTCTCCAGGTAAACTCCAGGTAATCAGTTCTCACCAAATTAATAAAGAAAGCCAAACAACTGTACTACTCCAGCAGATTCACTGACACAAGAGGAGATATAAAAAAGACCTGGAAAACACTTTCCCAGATTCTGGGGGAACCACAAACTGAAAAAAAAAAAAACAAGAATATTGTCCTAACTAAACCTAATGAAACACCACTGCATCCCACTGATACAGCTAACAAGATAAACGACTTCTCAAACATAGGATCTGATCTCGCCAGTAAAATCACATGTACCAACGCCCGTACCGGGGACTACCTAGATGGGAATTTTCCAAATTCCTTCTATCTTGTACCAACTGAGCCCACGGAAGTCACCGCGATTATAGTCACTCAGGAATAACTCAGGGAATCTGTCTCATGTCCCACCATTTTTGTACAAGCAAGCGGCCTATGTCCTTTCGCATGCTATTACATTACTTTTTAACAAGTCACTAGAAACTAGCACTTTCCCGACACTACTCAAGACAGCAAGGGTTACATCAATACATAAAGGAGGTGACCCTACAGATGTAAACAACTATAGGCCAATATCAAACTTACCATTTCTATCCAAAATCTTCGAGAAACTCGTGCACAGACTATATTCATTTATAACGGCACAAAACATACTCAACCCCTGCCAATTTGGATTCAGGAAAAGTAAAAGCACTAATGATGCAATTGTAAAAATGCTAGATCTGCTTTACACAGCATTGGAAAATAAGGAATATCCGCTAGGAAATTTTATTGACCTAAGAAAAGCGTTTGACACAGTAGACCACGGCATCCTACTCCAAAAACTTGATCATTATGGTATAAGAGGCTATGCGCTTGCATATTTCAAATCCTACCTTACTAATAGGTATCAGTACGTCACCATTAACGACACAGCCTCATCAACACGGCCACTTGATACTGGAGTTCCGCAGGGAAGTGTCCTTGGTCCCCTGCTCTTCCTCATTTAAATCAATGATCTTCCACACGTATCCCAACACCTGAAACCCATTATCTTTGCTGACGACACGACTTACGTCATCTTCCACTCTAATCTTGCCACCCTCAACACCATTGTCAACGAGGAGCTGCTCAAAATTCTGACTTGGATGACAGCCAATAAACTTACACTTAACACTGACAAAACCTACTACATTATGTTTGGTAGTAGAGCAGGTGTTGCGCAACTTAACATTAAGATCGACAACACTGTAATTGCCAGACATAATGAGGGCAAATTCCTAGGTCTATACCTCGACAACAACCTAAATTTCAGCACCCATATCCAACACATAACCAAAAAAGTATCCCAAACGGTGGGGATCCTCTCCAAGATACGATATTAC